ACAGTAAAGAATGCACCTGCACTGTGGGTAACCTGGGTTCGATCCCTGGGTTGGGAAGATCCCCTGGAGAACGAAATGGCTACCCACTCCAGTATTCTAGCCTGGAAAATCCCATGGACAGAGGAGCCTGGTGAGCTACATTCCATGGGGTCGCAAAGAGTCGGACATGACTGAGCGACTGAACTGAACTGAACTGAATTTAGGGTCTGTATTTTCTGGACTGTAGGTTTTCTTTATATGATCTCTTTTCCTATTACCCTCTATTTTAATCCCTGCAGCCTTATAAAATTGTTTATCTCCCTACTTTCTTCTCTTTTAGAGAGTCTTGCTTGCTTATTCCCTAGTTGAAATTTAAAACCATTTCATCAAGTTAAAAAAAAAAACTTTTTGGGATTTGAGTCAGAATTGCATTAAACAATCTATAATTTAACTTCTTAAAAAAATCACCATTATTACAGTATTTTGACTTGTTTTCAATGAATGTTATATATCTTCAATGTACAAACCTATTTTTAAAAATATATTTGTGAACTTTCCCACTTTTTTTAATATTGGTCAGATGCATTTTCCATTATGATTAGCTCTATATTTTGTTTTATTATTTAAAATTTTTATTTTTCTATATTTTTGAGCTCTATATTTTATATTATATTGCTGTTTGAAATAGGATCCTTAAAACTATATTTATTGTAGGCATATAGGGATATTATTGAACTTTGCATGTTTAGTTTGATTAGCCACTTTGCTGAGATCTTTTTAATTTGTGTACCTTGTCAGACGACTGCTTTGTTGAGGTTATGCAGTCATTTCATATATACATAATCATCATTTTATCTGTTTCTGATGTTTATGCTTTCTATTTCTTTGGCCAGAATGTTTATGACCATATTTAGGGATACTGATGATGGAAGACATCCTTATTTTGCTCTTTGTTTTAAAGGGAAAGCTTCTGATACTTTCCTTGATGTTGTTCCTGGCAGGTCTGAGATCCATTGATTTTATCCACAGGGGCTCTTATGATTTATAACCACAACAAGAAACCTTTCTGGACCTTTGAGCATCTGGCACAAAGCAGTAGGGGGCTCATTGTTTGGAAGGTTTGCTTTTTCTAGAATCCTCAACTTGCCCCAAATTTTGAGCCTGCAGGGCTGATCCAGTCCTCAATCTCTTTTTACTGGAAGTCTGACCTCTGGGCATTCATCCCTCCCCGTAAGACTTTGCACTCTCTTCTGCAAACTCCATCTTGCTGATCTAAGAGCAGGTTCCTGACATTGGACAGCAGCCGGGCTGGAGTCACCTAGCATAGCCCTGGACCAGAAGAAACAGTAAAGACACTTTTTTTTTGACTGACCAAGCCTCGAGGTTTGCGGGATCTTAGTTCCTTGACCAGGAGTTGAACCTGAGCCCCCTGCAGTGAAAATACAGAGTCTCAACCACTGGACCACCAGGGGAGTCTCTGAAGACACTTCTTAATGGGATGCCCTACCTCTCTGGTTCCTAGGTCTTTTGGATTTTTGCCCTTACCCCCATCTGTCCCCTTTCTTTCCTCAGACCAGCTCAGTAAGGTCACCAGTAACTCTGTCCTGCCCGCTGAGCCTGGTCCACCTCTGCTGGTAATGTTCTCTGGGGGTCTTCCTACTCTACCTGAAAAGTAGATGCAAAAGGAGGTTAATACAGTAACGGGTGAAGAGGTCTCTTTCACACCATGTAAGACTCAGGGACTGGAGCTTAGGGTTGTCAGGGAAGGCTTCGTGGAGGAGGTGACATTTGAGCTGCTGTTAGAGGCAGATAAGGGTGAAGGGCTTCAGTTTTGATTATTTCTATAGACTTTGCATTCTTGCTGCTGTTCAGAATAGGATCTGTTCTTTCTTCTTTCCCCCTTCCCTCCTTCCCTTCCTTTCTTCCTATCTTCTCTTTAGCATACTTTAAAATATTTAAAATACGAATTAAAAATTTTTTTATTGGAGTATAGTTGATTTATAATATTGTCTTAGTTTCTGCTGTATTGCAAGGTGAGTCAGTTATGCATGAACATATATCCACTCTTTTTTGGATTCTTTCCCCATATACGCCCTTACAGAGTACTGAGTAGAATTGCCTGTGCTATTAAGTAGGTCCTTATTAATTCTATTTTACAAATAGTAGTGTGTATATGTTAATCCCAATCTCAATTTATCCCTCTTCGTGCCCCTCACCCCATAACCATAAGTTTATTTTTCTACATCTGTGACTCTATTTCTGTTTTGTAAATAAGTTTATTTGTACCATCTTTTTAGATTCCACATATAAGTGACATCATACTCTTATATAACTGAGAAAGATTTGTTCTCTGTCTGACTTTCTTTACAGAGTAGGATCTTTAAAAGCTATATTTTATTGTTGGCATATAGGAATGTTATTGAACTTTGTGTATTAATTTTGGAACGAGATTCAAAGGCTTAGAGGCCTGGGGAAGCCTGGCCTCTTGAGGGAAAAGACCACAGTTTGCTGAGAGATGGATCAGTGCTGTCTGAGTCAGTGAGTGCTCCTGGAGGGGGCAGTCACCAGCAATGCGGGCATCCAGAAGGACTTCTAGAAGAGGTGGGATGGGACCTGGCCTTGCAACATGGACAGGTGTGGGTAGGATGCGAAGGGGAGGGCAAAGTGGAAGGTGAGTAGGGAAGCAACATTTGTAGTAGCCCCACTATTTACCTGCTAGGCACTTGGTTAGTATATTGAGTACTTTATTAAAAGATAATTTTATTTATTTTTGGCTGTGCTGGGTCTTCATTGCTTTAAAGGCTTTTCTCTAGTTGCGGTGAGTGGGGTCTACTCTCCAGCTGCAGTGCACAGGCCTCTTTGTGGTGCTTCTCTTGTTGCTGGGCGCGGGCTCTAGGGTACACCAGCTTCAGTAGTTGTGGCATGTGGGCTTGGTAGTTACAGCTTCCGGGCTCTCGAGTACAGTCTCGAGTTGCGGTGCACGGGCTTAGTTGCTCTGTGGCAAGTGGGATCTTCTCAGGTCAGGGATGGAACTTGAGTCTCTTGCTTTGGCAGATGAATTCTTTACCACTGAGCCACCAGGATAGCCCCACTAAGTACTTTTTATTATATTTACTTTTCCTGACAGCTTACTAGGTAGACAATGATGCTCCCATTTTAAAGATGAGAAAACTGAGGCTCAGCAATGATAAGTGACTTAGATGAGCTGGACAGATAATTTCTGAGCCCCCATGCTTTCAGTGTCTCTCTGCTACCATATATATGAACCAGCTTTATTGAAATATAATTCACATACCATATATTCCATCCATTTAAGGTGTACAGTTCAGTGGTTTGAGTATATTCAATGTGCAGCTATCACCACATTCAACTGTAGAACATTTGCATTACCCCTGCAAAGAAACCCCTCACCCCTCAGTACCCCCAGCCCTGGGTAACCAATAATCTACATCCTGTCTTTACATTTGCCTATTCTGGACCTTTCATGTAAATGGCCTCATCTAGCATATTGTCCTGGTGATTGGCTTCTTTCACTTACCATAGTGTTTTTAAGGCCTGTCTAATCCTCCTGCCAACCAGGAGATGCGGGTTCAACCCCTGGATCAGGAATATCCCTGGAGAAGGAAATGGCAAACTTTCCCTTGCCTGGGAAATCCCATGGACAGAGGAGCCTGGTGAGCTACATTCCATGGGGTCACAAAGAGTCAGATATGACTTAGCAACTAAACAACAACAGCATTTAGTAGTACATATTGGTATTTTATTCCTTTCTGTTGCCAAACAAAATGAATATACCACATTTTAGCTATTCATCTGTGGATGGACACATGAGCTGTTTCCATTTTTTGGCTATTATGAATAATGCAGAGGATGAGATGGTTAAATAGTATCACTGACTCAATGGACATGAGTTTCAGCACACTGTTAGTGAAGGACAGGTGAGCCTAGTGTGATGCAGTCCCTGGGGTCGCAAAGAGTCAGACATGATTGAGCAACTGGACAACGACAACTTGAGTAATGCTGCTGTGAATAATTGCTGGGTAATGTGCTAACTAGGTTTAACCATTCAAAGAACTACCAGACTGTTTTTCAGAGAGGCTTCCCTGCTGCCTCTGCCTCTTGGACAGATCTATTTTCAGAGTGACAGGACAGGGAAGAAGGTCAAACCACAAAGTCTGAGTGAATTACCTCTTTTCAAAGAAGTAGACTGTTATAAAGCACTCTGAAGCCTGCGACTTCACTGCCGAGTCTGATGATCCCAGAGGGACTTGTGGGTCCTGCAGGGCCTCAGGCACACGGCCATGTGGCCTGGTCATCGGTGTGCTGGCACAGCTCTGCCTTCTGCATTTTGGCTAGCAGGCCGTGCTATTAGAGATTGTGCTAGAATCAGCCCTAAGTTCAGGGAGCTAGATGGGGACAAGTGTAGTGAATGGTAATGAAGGCTCTTGGAGGAGGGAGGACAAGGTCTTAAGCCTGGCACAGGGAAGATGGGTGGGGAAAAGGGAGGCAGTAGGAGAGACAGGGTCAGGTTCTTTGGGGTTGGAGGCAAGTCCATGGTCAACTGTGGCTGCTCACTCTGGTCTTTGTCCTTTGACTGCAGACCTGGCCGAGTGCAAGCTGGTTTCCTTCCCCATCGGCATCTACAAGGTCCTGCGAAATGTCACCGACCAGATTCACCTCATCACGCTGGCCAACAACGAGCTCAAGTCCCTCACCAGCAAGTTCATGACCACGTTCTGTCAGCTCCGAGGTAGGCCGGGAGGGCATTCTGGCTCTCACCCTGAAGGTTCCAACCCTCTCTGGGGACTGTCACCAGGGCTGGTGCCCTAGTCAGCTAGTCTCAGGAAAGAATTCCCAAGGAGGGCCTTTAAGGGTGTCCTCCCTGCAGCCTGAATATCTCCCCTACCTCTAGCTGGCTGTCAGTCAGATTGACTCATGGTTAAGGCCGTGGGTCCTGGAGTGATTCTTTTGTTTTGAATAGACCAGCAGGATATCTGGGGTCTGGCAGCTCTGGAGTAGTCTTTTCTCAGTAGACTTGTTAACGAGCCCCCTTCTGCACCCCACCAATCTAGCGCCGTTTTCAGCTCAGGAGTGACATGTCAGGGATGTTGTTTTCTCTGCTGTGCCAGTGCAGAGCAAGCGGACTCGGGTGCTTGGCAGAGAGACGGGCAGGAGGCTGACAGGTGGGCGTTGGAGGTGCGTATGAAGTTTCTCCTCCGGATGGAGGAGCAGGATGCAGTGGCCACTGCGTGTCCACTCCCCGCTCCTTTATCCTTCTGCGAGTCCCTCATCCTTCCACAGGAGTTCACTGCTGCTCAGCCCAGTGACTGTGGGGTGGAGCTGAAGCCTGGGTGCTTGGTGTGTGTTTATGAAATGGTGGGGTGGGAGGGGTAGTTGGGGAGGGCACAGGAGAGGTAATTCCTGCCTTCTGGAATTCTCTGTCTGATAAGGGCATGAAAGGGGTCTTAGAGTCTGTTTAGAGAAACCAGTATGTAAAATGCTGCTGATGGAATCTGAGGGACCTGAACAGCCTATTTCCTGCAGCTTCCCAGAGGAGATGGGGACTCTGGCGGAGCCCAGAGAGGAGAGGAAAGCATGAATTGGCAAACCTGGGCCAGGGATAGGAAGCTTCTTGGACAGTGGCTCGGGAGAAAGCTACAGGTGGGACCTAGACTGGGTGCAGACACAAGGGCCTGGAGGAGGGATTGATCTGTGTGGTCGTTTCTGACTGAAGCTCACAAAGCTCTTTGCATTTGTGCCTAAAATGTTAAAAGTGCTTATGATGGAGGGTGAGTCAAGGAATCCCAGGGCAAGACATCCCAGGAGCATCTGTGAATGGTTTTCACCAGGACCATTTTACCATCCTTCCTTTTCTGGTGCCTGCTTCTTTACACAGGTGAGATGGGTCCTCCCAGCCAGTGGGGCTCTTGGACCAGCAGCTCTCAGCCTGAAATTAGAATCAGGCTGAAATTAGAATCAATTTGCCGTGGCTTTACCCCAAGACCCATTGAATCAGAATGTCTGGGTGTGGGTCTGGGTGTAGACATCTGTTAAAATCTAAATCAATCGTTCTAAAGTGCTGGCAGCCAAAATTGAGACCATAGTTTAGGAGTTATAAATGCAAATGCCGAAGAGACTAGCATGTAAGTTATGAGTGACTCAGATTGGTAATGATAAGGAGTGGTGGGGGCTGTGGCAACTGGTACCTGCCCTGCTCAGCTTCTGCCAGACATGCCATGGAATTGTTCTTATTTTCCCATCTTCTATTTTTTGGCCACATCGTGCAGCATGTGGGAACTTAGCTCCCCAACTGAGGATCAAACCTGTGCCCCCTGCCGTGAAAGTGTGGAGTCTTAACCACTGAATCATCAGGAAAGTCCCTGGGATTGTTCTGATTATTTTATTCAATTGAAGCTAGAAAGGTGGATCTTTATGTGAAATTTATCCATTTTTACTTTAATGTGGAAGCCAATAAAACACATTTTGCAAGTTAGACTTAGCCTGTGGGCCAAGAGAATCTCTTCTTATGGGAGTTGAGAGAATCTCCCATAAAATATTAGAGCTGTTTCTGCCATCTCATCTCACAGTGGAAAAGGAAGGTCAGGGAAAGAAGTGATGTGGCCAGGGTCTTCTAGCAGGACACTCATGTCACCCACTCTGCAGCCGGGATTGCCTTTCCAGACCACCTGCATTGGTTAACACAAGGACTTGACATTTGGCAGCACCTTGTGGAATGAGTGAGCAGGCCCCTTCCAGGGGACACAGTAGAAAATTGCCAGAGAAATACATTTAGGGTCCCTATATTTATGCCTCAGCCATGAAAATATACTTACCATGATACCCTTCCATCAGTCAGTCATGAAAATATACTTATCATGACACCTTCCATCAGAGATCTGCAGAAGGATGCTGTTTGCCCTCCCACCTGTGCCCTGGTACTCCTGCCTCCCCTATACCACCTTGGATTACAAAGAGAAGGCCCTGGTGTGCCCAGTGATTGGATTTCACAGAGGCAGCAGTGGACCCAGGGAGGGTGACCAGGAATAGAGAGGCTGGAGTAGAGAGACTCACCTGGCTCCCACAGTGATGGCTCTGGGTCCCAACCTTTATTCTGGTTTCTGTATCAGATAGAAAAACCTTTTCCTTTCAAGTGTGACGAGGAGGCTTGAATAGGCTTTGCTGAGCTCCTTACCGCCTGCTAGCATCCTCTTGTGGGTCCTTGACAGAGAAAGTTGGTTGCCTCAGTGTTGGGGAGAGAGCGGCCTGCTTACTCCCTACCTGTGCTTGGCAAGTGGTCTCCTATGGGTACCCTGGACACTTTCATTTGCTGGAGTCATGGCCCGTTTGAAGTTGGATGGTCTTTTTTTTTTTTCACTTTACTTTTTTATTTTTTAGCCACATCATGCAGCATGCAGGATCTTAGTTCCCCAATCAGGGATCCAGCTTGTGCCCTGTCCTCTGCCCTCTGCAGTGGAAGTGCTAGGTCCTAACCACTGGGAAACCAGGGTCGTCTTTAATGGTTACATCCCCTTGACATCTTTCACCAAACTTATAGTGGGAAAAAGCAAGATCTGAGATGGACAATGGCACAGACTGTACCTGTCCAAAGGGCAAGTAGGCTCTGCCGAGAGTGGGTCCCTATGTCTACCTGTGGCTCCTCTGGCCCGTCTCTTCCTCCCATGTTCTCATCTCTCCACTTCCTCCCAATGCAGGTCATTCAAGTGTTTTTATTGAGTGTATCCTGAGTCTGCCAGGCCAGAGGTGTCCAAGACACACCTGCAGAAATAGACAAAGACCATCCAAATGAGAACCAACAGAGGCATTTCATTCAGAGCCTGCTCTAGCCAAGGATTCAGCCACTGTCACTTGCATTTAGCAGGGAGTCAAAGGCAGACAGAGGGATGGGAAGGCTTTATAGTGGATGAAAGGGAGAAGGCCTCAGGTGTGCCTGAAGGCAGGCTGGGAGCCCAGGGAACCTGGAGGCAGGCGGGCCAGCTGGCTGCAGGGCGTCCTATGTGATTGCTTAGGATGTACTTCTGGCTGTCTCTGGTTGGTCCCGAATGGGATATTGGGATAAACATTAGGGAAACTTAGTAATCAAGTTCTGGCCATTTGAGGCCAACTGTTACAGAGGATGTTATTTGGCTTCCTGGATAGTTGATGGAGATGGTAGTCTGACTGCCTACAAGTCTGACTTAACAGAAGGCTAGCTTCCTGGGTGGTTGCTTTACTAACAGGATGATTTCCTGGACAGGATGCTGCAGGTTGTGGGTCGCAGACCTATTTTTATACTTGGTCTGGCCATAGTCTGTGTGTATATTCAGTCTCACAGCCTGCTTTTCAGCTCAATTCACTGGCTTCTCCTGAGCACCTGTTCTGGGCCTGGCAAGGGCATGAACAAATGACTAATAACACTGGACCCAAATTCACTGACACTTAGCATCCCCAGCTCCACCCTGAGGGTTTTACATGTGTCATCTCATTTCACTGTCATGGTGTTGCAGGAAGGGGGGGACCCCTTCCAGGGCCCGAAACTAGGCTCTTGTCTAACCCTCAGAAATGAATTGTCCGAGGAGACACATGTGCTGACAAAGCAAGAGATGTTATTGGGAAAGGGCCCCCTGGGTGGAGAGCAGGAGGGTAAGGGAACCCAGAACAGCTCTGCCCCGTGGCTGGCAGTCTCGGTCTTATGGTGATGGGACTAGTTTCCGGGTTGTCTTTAGCCAGTCATTCTGACTGAGAGTCCTTCCTGGTGGTGCAGGCCTTGTTCAGCCAAGATGGATGCCAGAGAGAAGGATTCTGGGAGGTGGTCGGCTAGGTGGGGTCTCATTTTGACCTTTCCCGAACTCTTCCAGTTGGTGGTGGCTTATTAGTTCCGTGTTCCTTACCAGGACCTCCTGTTGTAAAAACAACTCATGCAAATAGTTACTATGGTGCCTGGCCAGGGTGGGTGGTTTCAGTCAGCGTGCTTCCCCTAACAATAGCAGTGACACTTGGGAAGGATAAGAAAACCAAGAGCTAGACCCGGTCCTCGAGTAGCTCACAGTCTCCCAAGGAGGCAGGTGTGTAAGCACAGAACCACATCATAATGTGAGGGGATGTTTACTCCAAGTCTGGAGCCTCTGGGAAGTCAGTATGCTTATTATCTTTGTTTTCCATGAGGAAACTGAGGCACAGAGAGCTTAAGGAAAGAGGATGGGGTCAGGACTGTGGGTCCAGATCCAGAGCTGCTTAAAAACTATTGACGGGAGTAAGTGTCTGCACAGTTTTGCAACTTGCCGCTTTTACTTGAGGATAGATTTTAGGAACTGGTTCATGTCAGTACAGTGAGACCCACATTATCCTTTTCATGGGGGTGGGACGATTAACACTTCAGTTTAGTCTGTCCCAGACTCGTCAGTTAGAAGAGTTTTCTCCCCCTTCTTTCTGTCTACCCAAGAAGTGGATGTGGCTTTCAGAAACTTCATTCCTTTCCTCTCTGTCCCCCCACAGGCAGCAACTGTCTCTGTGCAAAGCACCTTCAGTGCTGAGTATGGGCCATTTGAAGAACAATCATTGTCCCACCCAACCCGCTGACTCTGCTCTGCAGGAGGTCCCTTGCAGGCAGAACAGTAATTGCTCAGTGATGCAGGGTCCCAGCAGCCAAGGTGCTGATTGATCCTCAGTGGGCGGGTATTTTTGGAGCTGGCAATTCCTTTACCACCAGGCTGAGTAATTACTACAGGCCGGCCACATCTGTCCCTTAATGAA